CTTTCATATGGGCGAGTACCTTTCTTATGGGTGAGTACCTTTCACATGGCGGAGTACCTTTCATATGGGGGAGTACCTTTCATATGGGCGAGTACCTTTCATATGGGTGAGTACCTTTCATATGGGTGAGTACCTTTCATATGGGTGAGTACCTTTCATACGGGCGGGTACCTTTCTTATGGGTGAGTACCTTTCACATGGCGGAGTACCTTTCATATGGGTGGGTACCTTTCACATGGCGGAGTACCTTTCATATGGGTGAGTACCTTTCATATGGGTGAGTACCTTTCATATGGGTGAGTACCTTTCATATGGGTGAGTACCTTTCACATGGCAGAGTACCTTTCACATGGCGGAGTACCTTTCATATGGGTGAGTACCTTTCACATGGCGGAGTACCTTTCATATGGGCGAGTACCTTTCATATGGGTGAGTACCTTTCACATGGCGGAGTACCATTCATATGGGTTAGTACCTTTCACATGGGTGAGTACCTTTCATATGGGTGAGTACCTTTCACATGGGCGAGTACCTTTCATAGGGGCAAGTACCTTTCATATGGGCAAGTACCTCTCATGAATGAGTACCTTTCATATGGGTGAGTACCTTTCACATGGCGGAGTACCTTTCATATGGGTGAGTACCTTTCACATGGCGGAGTACCATTCATATGGGTGAGTACCTTTCACATGGGTGAGTACCTTTCATATGGGTGAGTACCTTTCATATGGGTGAGTACCTTTCACATGGGCGAGTACCTTTCATAGGGGCAAGTACCTTTCATATGGGCAAGTACCTCTCATGAATGAGTACCTTTCATATGGGTGGGTACCTTTCACATGGCGGAGTACCTTTCATATGGGGGAGTACCTTTCATATGGGGGAGTACCTTTCATATGGGGGAGTACCTTTCATATGGGTGAGTACCTTTCACATGGGCGAGTACCTTTCATAGGGGCAAGTACCTTTCATATGGGAAAGTACCTCTCATGAATGAGTACCTTTCATATGGGTGAGTACCTTTCACATGGCGGAGTACCTTTCATATGGGTGAGTACCTTTCACATGGCGGAGTACCATTCATATGGGTGAGTACCTTTCACATGGGTGAGTACCTTTCATATGGATGAGTACCTTTCATATGGGTGAGTACCTTTCACATGGGCGAGTACCTTTCATAGGGGCAAGTACCTTTCATATGGGCAAGTACCTCTCATGAATGAGTACCTTTCATATGGGTGGGTACCTTTCACATGGCGGAGTACCTTTCATATGGGTGAGTACCTTTCATATGGGTGAGTACCTTTCATATGGGGGAGTACCTTTCATATGGGGGAGTACCTTTCATATGGGGGAGTACCTTTCACATGGGCGAGTACCTTTCACAGGGGCGAGTACCTTTCATAGGGGCGAGTACCTTTCATATGGGCGAGTACCTCTCATGAATGAGTACCTTTCATATGGGTGAGTACCTTTCACATGGCGGAGTACCTTTCATATGGGTGAGTCCTTTCATATGGGCGAGTACCTTTCACATGGGTGATTACCTTTATATGGGTGAGTACCTATCATATGGGCGAGTATACATGCTAAGGACTAACGACCGCCTCCTTGGTCTAGCAGCCCAGGGAGCTGAACGTCAGGGATTCAATCCCTGGCCGTGTCATTTCAAAACACGTTAAAAGATGGTACTCGTTGTTTCCTTGATAAAACAAGGATGTGTCAGTATGAGTCGGTATACTGTGTGTGAGTAGACAGATTGTCTCCCGACCAATTTTCATAATTTGCCATTAATTCCCTCGCGTGTCATGAGCTTTAGGATGCTTTTACAGTCGGCAAACTGCTTCAGACTAGCAAGATGGCTGAAACGATAACAAACAAACATCAGGTAGATCATATCATTCTGTGCCATAAACAATTGTGTCTACCAGCCCCAACTTTAATTTTGTATAATTTTCAATAGATTTTAGTCTTTGTATATGGATCTGCATTAGTTGGTCCTACTTGACGAGAATAAATTTTACTAGACTCGGGCTTTGGACCAGTGGCTATAATCACAGACTGTTGTGGTTGTCCATTCATATTATTGTCACCACTATTTTGCCTTCTACGCCAAAACGGAATCTGTTTTGGCAGAGAGGTTATTCTCTGGCAATGACGTTTTATATTTCATATGGTTGTCATGGTAATATTGTATTCCTGCAGCACGGACTACGGAGGTCGTGTCAGACAAGGGGCGAGGTGCGTGAAGATAAGACCCACTGGCTGGACCGCGCAGAAGATAAGTTTGAGGTAAGATCCGACTGTTTCAGATGAATGTTGGTGTCAAACAATACCATTATCAGAGATAGACAACATGAGGTCAATCCTACCAGTCCAGAGTTGATATTACTAATATTGGGTGAAAACCATTGTCAGTACTTCACGGGATTTTATATATGATGCACTCTGGTCATGAACTTTGTATGACCCCTGCAGTTCACTGATATCAAAGCACTGTACAGTAGTCTGCAAGGCCATGGCACATGGTGGACGAGAAATGTTGCCGATGTAATTTGAACAAATCTATAAAAAAAACAATATTCGTTCTTGTTACTACCGCAAAACAAAGATCAGAGGATCGTAGTCGCCACTTTGAGACTAGTGTCATTAAGCATGAGAAACCTGCCTTCTGATTGGCTATTGTCAACCTCTTGTCAGTCATTCCATTGGTCAGTCAAAGTTCGCAAAAGGACGGTCTGACATGACCCATAATGGGATGTCCTCAGATCTTTGTTTAGTGATAGGAAGAACTAAGATCTGATTTTAATGAGATTGAATCTGAACGAATTGGTCTTAGAATTTATCTTTTTCAGCATAATTAAACGACGTGTATTTCCAAGGAACTGATGATATGTGTATCCTTGTGACTGAGACTTAGGCTTGATGCCGTTTAGAAGAGTGTTTCAGTGACATCACCCTGTGACAGTTGAATCTGAAGGAATGTCCCAGTGATGCTGGATTTTGAAATAAATTTATCACTTAGGTGAAACTCATGAACTCGGCTGTGATGCTGACAAACCTAGACACATAGTCAGGATAAGTCTAACCCACGATCATAGGATCCGGGAGGACTTAAGGATACAACTTGTGGCTTTTTTGAGGACTTTGCCCTCTGAAAGATTATGTTTATATATTGTTATTCAATATTTGTGTGAACACGAATAACCCAGTGGTCTCTGTCGGAACCTACAGGTTGAATGTTTCAAAATTCAAGAGTTGCGACATTCTCTATACCACAAGGGCTCACATTTTGGTAAACCTACCCTACCCTGGACTCATTCCCCTAGTTCTCGTGATCTCAGATTACCCGCCCTTGAGTTTCATTAGCCAATTTGATTTGCTATGCTACTCAATCTAACAGACCAATCAGAATGCGAGTTACAAAACCAGCCTCAATGTTGGGTTGACGATATCAACAACATGGCTGCCATGATTTTGATAGAGTTTGCGAGGAATCCAATATTGAAATCCTGACCCGCACGCAAAAGAAAGCACACAAAAATATTTTTGATTGAAAGGATGTCTCCATGTATTTTAAAACTGGCGGTCACTTTGGGTTCTAGGCAATAGGAGTTACCTCCCTTAGCCATTTACTTTTTTTCCTTATCTCAACGTTTAATTGGTTGGTAAAATCTTAATGAAAATCGAGGGCAGGTAACTTGAGATCTCGAGAACCACGGGAATGGATCCAGGGGTGAGTGTAGGTTACTGAAATGTGAACCCTGGAGATATGGAGGATGGAAGTGCCACAATCATGAAGCTTAGTTTATCGGAACCATGGTCATGCGGAAGAACAGGGTTAGAATAGGTCTTCAGCATCCAATGCTTGCCGTAAAAGGCGACTAACGTGTCCAGGCTCACTGACTTGGTTGATACATGTCATCGTATCCCAGTTGTGTGGATCGATGCTCATGATGTCAATTACTGTCTCGTCCAAACTTGATTATTTGCAGACCGCCGTAATATAGCTGGAATATTGCTGAGTGTGGTGTTTAACTACAAGCAAACAATGATGGTATTGTTTGTACCAGAGTCGATTGTTTACAGACCACTGTTGTATGACAGGAGTATTGCTGAGTGTGGTGTTAGGCAACACACAAACACTTACTTTTTTGTGAAATCTGTTTTAGGAGATAATCGAGACTGAATATTGTCTGGTGTTGAAATTGAATTTCACCTGTAAATGTTTTGGTTTTAGGAGAGTTTTGTAGAAGATGTGAAGATTTTGCTGAAAGTATTATGGCTGTTCCTGCCCCTGCCATTGTTCTGGGCATTGTTTGATCAGCAGGTAGGTAAACACTCACAGACCAATTATACCTGGGTGCCATTGTACAAAGCGATCTTAGCGCTAAGGTGAACGTAACTCCCATACCTTAACATAGATTAACGACAGTCATGGTGCTAAGGTTGTTTTGTACAACGACACCCTGGTCCATTAATCAAGAACCCATACAGGGATTTCCGGGCAGAATAGGTTGCCACAACACTGTGTTTATGTGACTGACCATAGAACTGGATGATGACTCTGTGTGGCCTGCCTTATTGTAGTTACCCCGGGTACTGCCTATATGGGCATGTAGAAAGGGTGCCTACCTTGAGTGTGGGGGCCGGTGGTTCGATTCCCGACTAGCCATACTTAAAGACGTTAAAAGATGGTACTTTTTTTTACCCTGTAAGGCACCTGGCATTGAGGAGATAGTACAAGGAATGGTCTACTCTGAATCAGTATACATGCACTATGCCCTAGACTAACATCTAGTCTCTGAAATGAACATATTTTACAGAAAAAACAGTGGTTTAATTATAGTTATAAAATAAAATGAAAAGGAGCCTAGAGATTTTCTTCATTTCCTGAAACTGCAGTAATCTAGACTTGCCAAATTTTATATATAGACTTGCATGGGCTGTATTGGATATATTTGTTTCAGGGTCTGTATGGCAGACTAACTATGTCCGAGTGGGCCATGGTATATCTGTGGCCAGCACTATTGCACCCACACCCACACCCACACCCACACCCACACCCACACCCACACCGGCACCCACACCGGCATTCATACCCACGCCCAAACAACGCACACACAGATGACTACTACTGCTCACACACACATAGCTGGAATTAAGCAGAAAACAACAATTACTTCCTCACTCATAAATAATTGTACCCTTGAAGATCCTGGGTAGAATTGGGTTTGCCATAAAAGGCAACTAATCTTGTCGTAAGAGGCGACTAAAGGGATCGGGTAGTGAGATTTGCTGACTTCGTTCATGTATGTCAGTGTATCCCATTTGTGTGGATTGATGCTCATGATTTCAATCACTGGATTGGCTGGTCTAGACTAAATTATTTGCAGACTGCCGTCATACAGGAATATTGCTGAGTGCTGCATTAAACAACAAACAAACAACCATAAACAACTGATGTTATTTTTATCCAAACTTTGCCCACTTCAACATGTTCAAAATAACTAACCTCAGTTCATTTATGTAGGAACAGGTCCCATCAACCCTTGCGTGGTGTAAGAGGCCACTGAATGCATCGGTTGGTCGTCTCAGGTTTTGCTTGCTTGCATGTTATAGCACCCTGATGACATGGGACGTTACTCATACTATCAATCACAGGTTTGTCTGGGACACATCCTGTCATATCAGGGGATAAAGCAGAGAGAATCATCAAACAACAAACATCTTTTATGAATTTTAGGACCTAGCATGGATTGATTAATGTGTCACTATGTGTTTCTTGTGAAACATTGTGCTTCGTTTTGTTTCAGGGCTCCAGATGGACGCTCCAGGCAGAAGAAATGGATGGGTCAATGGTAAAACTTATTCCACTGTATTGTAGTAGCTGTTCGTCTTTATTCAACTCCATGGAGGCAAATATAGGATATATATATAGGGTCATTATGGATGTGAATCCAGATAGTATGAGATGGCTACATGCCAAGGGAAATAATCCTGAACTGTCTGATCGCATTGGATTTGTTCATGGCATTATAAACAATGTTTTTTCTTGTGAAAAATGTTTAAGATTTAAAATTAAAATTAAAATATATTTTGTTAAATGTGAAAGCACTTGTTCTAAGAGAAAAGGAGGGCCTTAGCACTATTTTGTAGCTTGTTAAACTTGTTTCTTGTGTGATTTTCAGGGAAGCCTTGGGCGATTGAAACCAGACCAGTTTCAGGTATAGTTGTTGTGAATTGTTGTGAGTGTTGTTACAGTGTAATATACCAACAGTTGGGTGTTGTTACAGTGTAATATACCAACAGTTGGGTGTTGTTAGAATGTAATAAACCAACAGTTGGGTGTTGTTACAGTGTAATATACCAACAGTTGGGTGTTGTGACAGTGTAATATACCAATAGTTGTGTGTTGTTACAATGTAATATACCAACATGTGTGTGTTGTTACAATGTAATATACCAACAGTTGGGTGTTGTTACAGTGTAATATACCAATAGTTGTGTGTTGTTACAATGTAATATACCAACAGTTGGGTGTTGTTACAGTGTAATATACCAACAGATGAGTGTTGTTACAATGTATTATGCCAACAGTTGGGTGTTGTTACAATGTAATATACCAATAGTTGTGTGTTGTTACAATGTAATATACCAACAGATCAGTGATGTTACAATGTAATATACCAACAGTTGTGTTGTTACAGTGTAATATACCAACAGTTGTGTGTTGTTACAATGTAATATACCAACAGATGAGTGCTTTAACAATGTAATATACCAACAGATGAGTGTTGTTACAATGTAATATACCAACAGTTGTGTGTTGTTAGAATGTAATATGCCAACAGATGAGTGTTGTTAGAATGTAATATACCAACAGATGAGTGTTGCTACAATGTAATATACCAACAGTTGGGTGTTGGTACAATGTAATATGCCAACAGTTGGGTGTTGTTACAATGTAATATGCCAACAGATGAGTGTTGTTAGAATGTAATATACCAACAGATGAGTGTTGTTACAATGTAATATACCAACAGTTGGGTGTTGGTACAATGTAATATGCCAACAGTTGGGTGTTGTTACAATATGTCTGATGACCTCGCAGTTTTACTACATGTCTGATGATATCACAGTTATACATGTCTGATGACCTCACAGTTATACAACGTCTCTGATGGCCTCACAGTTATATGAGTCTGATGACCTCGCAGTTATACAACATGTCTGATGACCTCACAGTTATACAACATGTCTGATGACCTCACAGTTATACAACGTGTCTGATGACCTCACAGTTATACAACATGTCTGATGATTTGCTTGTTCTTGTTCTAGGTGTTGAACCCACTGCTGATCATCGTCCTCATCCCAGTATTTGAACACATCATCTATCCCCTGCTAGACTGCTGTAGACTGCCACACAGGTCAGTCCAGTGATAGAAACCATATATACACACAGACAGTCTTCATACAAAGGATGAGTTGAATAAGGGCGCAGTCCGGCCCACTGGAAACGTCCAATTACTCATAACTATAACTGGAATGAGTGAAAGAGTCTGATTCTCAGAACTTCAAGAGAAAATCTAAATATGAGCAAGTCCCAAGATTATATTTACTGTATGTACCGCTATCATATGACTGTACTGTTTGTACCTGCATCTTTACGTGGAGATTTGATACCTTGATAATGGCGGATGGTGTGACGTCTCTCTTCCAGGCCTCTGCAGCGGATGGTTGTGGGTATGAGCTTCGGTGTTCTAGCGTTCATAGTCGCAGGACTTGTACAGATTAAACTAGATGTGAGTATCATCAAACAAGTCTGTGACATGGCTGCGTTTTTTTAACTGTCAGCTCAGATGTACCATCCATGCATAATATGTGAAACTTGACTTCAACATAAATAGGTTTTGAGGCACGATGTGTGTATGTGATGTGTAGCACCCCATGTGTATACACATACCCTGTGTGTGTGAGTGTATGTGTCTGTGTTTATGTATATGTGCGTGTGTGAGTGTGTAGGGGTGGATGTGTGTCTGTGTGTGTCTGTATCTCTGTGTCTATGTTGGTGTGGGTATGTCTGTGTCTGTCAATTTGTGTCTTTGCGGGTGTCTATGAGTCTGTCTGTGACTATGTGGGTGTGTCTGTGAGTGTGTCTGTGTGTATGTCTGTCTGTCTGTGAGTCTGTCTGTGTCTATGTGGGTGTGTCTGTCTGTGAGTCTGTGTCTATGTGGGTGTGTCTGTGAGTGTGTCTGTCTGTGTCTATGTGGGTGTGTCTGTGAGTGTGCATGTAAGTGTGTCTGTGTGTATGTCTGTCTGTCTGTGTGTCTGTCTGTGTCTATGTGGATGTGTCTTTGAGTGTGTCTGTCTGTCTGTCTATGTGAGTGTGTCTGTCTGTGTCTATGTGAGTGTGTCTGTGACTGTGTCTGTCTGTCTGTCTGTGTCTATGTGGGTGTGTCTGTCTGTCTATGTGGGTGTGTCTGTCTATGTCTATGTGGGTGTGGCTGTCTGTGTCTATGTAGGTGTGTCTGTCTGTGTCTATGTGGGCGTGTCTGTCTGTGTCTATGTGGGCGTGTTTGTCTGTGTCTATGTGGGCGTGTCTGCCTGTGTCTATGTAGGTGTGTCTATGAATGTGTCTGCCTGTGTCTATGTGGGTGATTCTGTGTCTATGTGCGTGTGTGGGTGTGTATCTGTGTTCCTGTCTCTGCGTGTCTATACAGGTGTGTCTGAGTGTATATGCGTGCGAGTGTGTCTGTCTGTGCCTACAGAAAGATCAGTCAACAAACATTGTACGTTCCTTCAAGTGCCATATAGTTGATGTATCTGAGACAATCTGTGTGACATGTTCCAGGCCGGCAAGGAGGCACCCCTAGCCACGGGAGAATCTGGCATCACCGTCATCAACACAATCAAGTGCAATATCTCACTTACCTCCCCTTTCTATACTGGCAACATCAGCACCCACCAGGTGAGATCACTGAGCTTATTGTTACACACAAACCAATAAAGTGTTCCTTAAAGTATTCAAAGACCAAATGATCATTTGACACTGGCCCTTTTGGCAGTGTCACTGAAAGTCAAGTGAGCCTATGTCTTTTCAAGGTGTCCGTGTCAAGCAGCTTTTTTACATTTTTGACATGTTGTCCGAAACTTCTTGGTTCACGAGGCTGAAATTTTGTGCATCTGATCCCAGCAATGCTGTCTGTAAATGCTGCTCACAGAGTTAGGGAACTCGTGAAGATCCGGGGTAGAATAGGTCTTCAGCAACCCATGCTTGCCGTAAAAGGCGACTGTGTTTGCCGTAAAAGGCGACTAATAGGATTGGGTGGTCAGGCTGGCTGATTTGGTTGATGCATGTCATCGGTCCCAATTGCATGGATCGATGCTCATGATGTCAATCACTGGATTGTCTGGTCCAGGCTCGATTATTTACAGACTGCCGTCATATAGATGGAATATTGCTGAGTGCAGCCTTAAACAACAAACAAACAAACACGGAATGAGGGTCTGTTGGCCATGTGGCAAAATGGCCACCACTGCATTCATACTGACTATCTTATATTTGTCCAAGCCATTTTTGCATGTATGAAGAATCATTATGAAATTTAATAATCAGTAAGTATATGGAATATGATATACTGCAGGTTTTTTTCAAATTAGATCTCTGACCCAGTTATGAACATGTTTAAGAAGTTTGAATCCTATTGTCAATAAGGCCACTACAGCAGACATATTAAAAAATCTATTTATGGCAATTGCGTTGTCATTTTTTCCAAACAGTTTTGGGGCGGTCGGGTAGCCTAGTGGTTAAAGCGTTTGCTCTTCACGCCGGAGACCCGGGTTCGATTCCCGACATGGGTAAAATGTGTGAAGCCCATTTCTGGTGTCCCCCGCCGTGATATTGCTGGAATATTGCTAAAAGCGGCGTAAAACCATACTCACTCACTCCAAACAGTTTTGAATTTTGTGCATATGTAGTTGGCAGTGGGTTTCACACAGTTTTTTAACTTATTGTTTGCGTTTTGAAGGTAACCAATTGGACTTTGGTTCAAATGAGGATAGGTTTTTGTATAACTCATAAACTGTTCAATATTTCCGTATGATTTCTTGCATTATATTTTGTGGTGTTATGTTGAATCCCCTTCTCTCAGTATGCAGGTATGTACCGACATCAGAGCGGCAGCATGTCGGTGTCTGCCGCCTGTGAGCAGGACAAGACAAGCTCCGTGACGGACACCTTCCTGTTTGATGCAGCCACACCATACCGCATTGTCATCATGACGGATTCTCAAGGTCACATGACCTTGAAGCAGGCATGTGGTTGATAAGTTCATTTGTCATAGATTATTTTAGTCGTTTTGCTTAAAATAAGTCAAATTATCAAAATGCTAGGCTATTAATATTAAAAGTTTTGGTAGATATAATTGAATTTAAAACACTGAATTGTGTGAAAATCCAATGAGAGGCTTCATTATGAAACCCCTGGACAGCAAAATTTCAATGTAGAAATGATCTGATACGCCAACATCCAACTACCATATTCGACGTAATAAGCGCCCACGGCGATATTTGCTAATATATTGGCAAGTGAACAATCCCAATTAGCACCCCTTCCGATTAATCAATGTAAACAAGACTTATTTATTCGTGTATAATACGCACTCATGTGTTATATGCACCCTTAATTATGGGCAATTTAATTCTGGAAAAATATATCTGTCGTATATAAACAGTTCAGACCGTCAGCATGAACCACGAAATTTGTCTTTCAACTCTGTTTTTTTTCCACCAAAATAATATTCTAATAAGAGCACCCTATTTCTAATTTTGAGAGTGCCCTGGGCGGTTATTACGTCGAATACGATATTATTAAAGATTGTTGTTGATTTTAATCCATGTTCACAAGTTCAGCATTTTTGTCATATTGTCTCAATACAATCCCTTGATTACATTTTCATCAGCCATTTTCATTCCTGAAATTTTGTCCTTCAGTTCCTAGACAAAAGGACAAAACCCAGTAATGGACAGGCCGATGTCAGGTAACTATTACGTCATTTTGTCTTTACAAGTATTTGTCCCCATTTCAGGTTCATTTTTTAATGTTGGACATGACCGCCTCCGTGGTCTAGTGGTAGAGTGTCTGCCCGGAGAGCGGAAGGTCAGGAGTTCGATCCCTGACCGCGTCATACCAAAAGACGTTAAAAGATGGTACTTGTTGTTACCCTGTCTGGCGCTCGGCATTAAGGGGCTAAAACAAGGACTGGTCGGCTCGGAGTCAGTATACTGTGTCTGAGTGGGGTATTCATGTTAAAAATGGTATCTCAGTGAGCTAGCACTATGAATAGTACAAGCAGCCATACAAACACATACACGTACATGCATGTCGCTATATAAGTGCAATAATCTTGGACGCGACGTTAAACCCAATTTCATCTCACCTAATGGACATTGGCGCTGCTCGCTCGTCACACCGAAGGCCTGGGTTCGATTCCCCACATGGTTACTATACAATGGTGTCCCCCTGCCATGATATTGGTGGAATATTGCTACAAGTGGCATAAAACCATACTCACTCACTCATTCGAAGACTGTAACATCATTACGTCCATGCAGAGTGGCCAGCCATGGGTACAAGACGATGACTGGCCAGATGGATGGGTTCTAGAATGAGTGACGTTATATCTGTCCATGATTGTTCCAGTGTTGTCAGCAACCTGCCATATACCAACAGTTCCCAAAGAGTCAGACTGGTGCCAATGAAAGGGAAGGAGGTGGCAGGGACGCCTGTCTACCTCAACATCAGCCGAGACAACGCTACTGCGTACACCAGCATGGAGCCAGCAGTGTGAGTTAACATCTAATTGAGGGGGAAGACATTAGGGCTGGGACGATACACCAACTGTGCGATCCGATACATATCACGATACCTTGCTCACGATCAGATATGTATCATGATACTTGCATGTGCTCTTATCTGTTTTTTCACAGACAAGATGGCCAAATACCTGGCACACCAACAATTTACAGTTGGCAGTGTCAAGTATGGCGCAATAGATGAAAATATTTATGTTTTCACTCCTCATTTTCACTAGTAAGTAGTGTTTGGTGTAACATTATTTGTAGAATAAACTTAAGGTAAGCATCGATATTTTTTACTTTGTGCGCGATTGTGATTGATACTTGCACCGAGAAGTGGAAAAGCGCGATCCACCGATGCATCAATGTATCGTCCAATTACTGAAGACGGTAGTACCTGAACGTCAGCCGAACCAACCTTTACAATTTCAGCGAAATTATCACCATATCATGAACCAAATTTCGCAATATGATTAAGTGAAATATATTACAAATTTTATCACCAGTAATTTAAGCTTGACCTTGCTCCAGCATTGAGAACAATACATCTAAATAATAATCCCTAGTTTGAGCTAGTGGTGCAAACTTTTACACAATTTAAAGAGTACCAGCAGCAAAAGATGATATGTGATATGAGCCTTTGATCAGCAAGGGATAAACAAATGTACACTTGTACACAGTGCAGGAGTTTACCTAGACATGCTCAGAGGCTGATATTCAGCCCCCAAATCTGCAGCAAATGTCAATACAAATTCCATGATTGGAAACAACATTGTAGTTATAATAAATGCAACAAAAACCATTCTGTATTCATAAGAAATCTCTGTAAAAAGCTGATTTGATTGTACGATTCCGACTATCATGTCACAAACACATGCAAAGGCAAGAAAATTGTTAACCCTGAAGAAACACGTTAACGAATGGTACAAATCAAAATAAGGAATTGCATGGGACATTATTTTTGTCACTGATGCATCAAATTTGGAAATGTCCTCCACATGTCTACCACATGCATACCACTTATTGAAAGCTTTACTTGAATGTTTATAACTAATGTGATGGTTTTGTAAGGTGATGTGTATTTCATTGATAACAGGACCAATATAGAGGAAGAGGCTTCAATGCTTAGTTTAACATTACTGCATTGAATGCAGTGTTGATTACAATGTTAAAATACTTCTGAATTCAGGAAAATAAAAACTTTAATAAAATCCAATTTATCAACGATGTAATTTTCCCCAGTTTTCCTGCCAGCAGCACTTAATTTGGAATCCTAAATACATCCGTGGTGTGTGTAGTAAGTTGTGACAGGGAGAGTCCGTGTTGCAGGTACAAGGTGTCCCTCCCGCTACAGAGCCCAGGGGACACGTGGAAGGACCAGGCAGGCTTGATGACAGTGCTGTCCGGGGCCACATACACCCTGGCCCTTGTCAACAAAAACTCTGCCACGGACTTTAACGATGAGGTAAGACCCGAGATTTCACTAACTGCCACTCTACCGCAGACTTTAACGATGAGGTCAGACCCGAGTCTTCACTAAAGGAAACACTGCCACAGACTTCAACAATGAGGTAAGACCCAAGCCTTCACCAACTGCCACTCTGCCGCAGACTTTAACGATGAGGTAAGACCCGAGATTTCACCAATGGAAACACTGCCACAGACTTCAACAATGAGGTAAGACCCAAGCCTTCACTAATGGAAACTCTGTGCAGACTTCAACAATGAGGTAAGACCCAAGCCTTCACCAACTGCCACTCTGCCGCAGACTTTAACGATGAGGTAAGACCCGAGATTTCACCAACTGAAACACTGCCACGAACTTCAATGATGAGGCAAGACAATCTTCTGTTCTAGGTGTACTTGACAATCTTCTGTTCTAGGTGTACTTGACAATCTTCTGTTCTAGGTGTACATGACAATCTTCTGTTCTAGGTGTACTTGACAATCTTCTGTTCTAGGTGTACATGACAATCTTCTGTTCTAGGTGTACTTGACAATCTTCTGTTCTAGGTGTACTTGACAATCTTCTGTTCTAGGTGTACTTGACAATCTTCTGTTCTAGGTGTACATGACAATCTTCTGTTCTAGGTGTACTTGACAATCTTCTGTTCTAGGTGTACTTGACAATCTTCTGTTCTAGGTGTACTTGACAATCTTCTGTTCTAGGTGTACTTGACAATCTTCTGTTCTAGGTGTACATGACAATCTACTGTTCTAGGTGTACTTGACAATCTTCTGTTCTAGGTGTACATGACAATCTACTGTTCTAGGTGTACTTGACAATCTTCTGTTCTAGGTGTACTTGACAATCTTCTGTTCTAGGTGTACTTGACAATCTTCTGTTCTAGGTGTACATGACAATCTTCTGTTCTAGGTGTACATGACAATCTTCTGTTCTAGGTGTACATGACAATCTTCTGTTCTAGGTGTACATGACAATCTTCTGTTCTAGGTGTACATGACAATCTTCTCTTCTAGGTGTACTTGACAATCTTCTGTTCTAGGTGTACATGACAATCTTCTGTTCTAGGTGTACATGACAATCTTCTGTTCTAGGTGTACTTGACAATCTTCTGTTCTAGGTGTACTTGACAATCTTCTGTTCTAGGTGTACTTGACAATCTTCTGTTCTAGGTGTACTTGACAATCTTCTGTTCTAGGTGTACTTGACAATCTTCTGTTCTAGGTGTACTTGACAATCTTCTGTTTTAGGTGTACATGACAATCTTCTGTTCTAGGTGTACTTGACAATCTTCTGTTCTAGGTGTACTTGACAATCTTCTGTTCTAGGTGTACATGACAATTTTCTGTTCCAGGCGGATCTGACAATCTTCTGTTCTAGGTGTACTTGACAATCTTCTGTTCTAGGTGTACTTGACAATCTTCTGTTCTAGGTGTACTTGACAATCTTCTGTTCTAGGTGTACTTGACAATCTTCTGTTCTAGGTGTACTTGACAATCTTCTGTTTTAGGTGTACATGACAATCTTCTGTTCTAGGTGTACTTGACAATCTTCTGTTCTAGGTGTACTTGACAATCTTCTGTTCTAGGTGTACATGACAATTTTCTGTTCCAGGCGGATGTGACAATCTTCTGTTCTAGGTGTACTTGACAATCTTCTGTTCTAGGTGTACTTGACAATCTTCTGTTCTAGGTGTACTTGACAATCTTCTGTTTTAGGTGTACATGACAATCTTCTGTTCTAGGTGTACTTGACAATCTTCTGTTCTAGGTGTACTTGACAATCTTCTGTTCTAGGTGTACATGACAATTTTCTGTTCCAGGCGAATGTGACAATCTTCTGTTCTAGGTGTACTTGACAATCTTCTGTTCTAGGTGTACTTGACAATCTTCTGTTCTAGGTGTACATGACAATCTTCTGTTCTAGGTGTACTTGACAATCTTCTGTTCCAGGCGGATGTGACAATCTTCTGTTCTAGGTGTACATGACAATCTTCTGTTCTAGGTGTACATGACAATTTTCTGTTCCAGGCGGATGTGACAATCTTCTGTTCTAGGTGTACTTGACAATCTTCTGTTCTAGGTGTACTTGACAATCTTCTGTTCTAGGTGTACTTGACAATCTTCTGTTCTAGATGTACTTGACAATCTTCTGTTCTAGGTGTACTTGACAATCTTCTGTTTTAGGTGTACATGACAATCTTCTGTTCTAGGTGTACTTGACAATCTTCTGTTCTAGGTGTACTTGACAATCTTCTGTTCTAGGTGTACATGACAATTTTCTGTTCCAGGCGGATGTGACAATCTTCTGTTCTAGGTGTACTTGACAATCTTCTGTTCTAGGTGTACTTGACAATCTTCTGTTCCAGGCGGATGTGACAATCTTCTGTTCTAGGTGTACTTGACAATCTTCTGTTCTAGGTGTACTTGACAATCTTCTGTTCTAGGTGTACTTGACAATCTTCTGTTCTAGGTGTACTTGACAATCTTCTGTTCTAGGTGTACTTGACAATCTTCTGTTCTAGGTGTACTTGACAATCTTCTGTTCTAGGTGTACTTGACAATCTTCTGTTTTAGGTGTACATGACAATCTTCTGTTCTAGGTGTACTTGACAATCTTCTGTTCTAGGTGTACATGACAATTTTCTGTTCCAGGCGGATCTGACAATCTTTTGTTCTAGGTGTACATGACAATCTTCTGTTCTAGGTGTACTTGACAATCTTCTGTTCTAGGTGTACATGACAATCTTCTGTTCTAGGTGTACATGACAATCTTCTGTTCTAGGTGTACTTGACAATCTTCTGTTCTAGGTGTACTTGACAATCTTCTGTTCTAGGTGTACTTGACAATCTTCTGTTCTAGGTGTACTTGACAATCTTCTGTTCTAGGTGTACTTGACAATCTTCTGTTCTAGGTGTACTTGACAATCTTCTCTTCTAGGTGTACTTGACAATCTTCTGTTCTAGGTGTACATGACAATCTTCTGTTCTAGGTGTACATGACAATCTTCTGTTCTAGGTGTACATGACAATCTTCTGTTCTAGGTGTACTTGACAATCTTCTGTTCTAGGTGTACTTGACAATCTTCTGTTCTAGGTGTACTTGACAATCTTCTGTTCTAGGTGTACATGACAATCTTCTGTTCTAGGTGTACTTGACAATCTTCTGTTCTAGGTGTACTTGACAATCTTCTGTTCTAGGTGTACTTGACAATCTTCTGTTCTAGGTGTACTTGACAATCTTCTGTTCTAGGTGTACTTGACAATCTTCTGTTCTAGGTGTACTTGACAATCTTCTGTTCTAGGTGTACTTGACAATCTTCTGTTCTAGGTGTACATGACAATCTTCTGTTCTAGGTGTACTTGACAATCTTCTGTTCTAGGTGTACTTGACAATCTTCTGTTCTAGGTGTACATGACAGTCTTCTGTTCTAGGTGTACTTGACAATCTTCTGTTCTAGGTGTACTTGACAATCTTCTGTTCTAGGTGTACTTGACAATCTTCTGTTCTAGGTGTACTTGACAATCTTCTGTTCTAGGTGTACTTGACAATCTTCTGTTCTAGGTGTACTTGACAATCTTCTGTTCTAGGTGTACTTGACAATCTTCTGTTCCAGGTGTACTTGACAATCTTCTGTTCTAGGTGTACTTGACAATCTTCTGTTCTAGGTGTACTTGACAATCTTCTGTTCTAGGTGTACTTGACAATCTTCTGTTCTAGGTGTACTTGACAATCTTCTGTTCTAGGTGTACTTGACAATCTTCTGTTCCAGGTGTACTTGACAATCTTCTGTTCTAGGTGTACTTGACAATCTTCTGTTCTAGGTGTACTTGACAATCTTCTGTTCTAGGTGTACTTGACAATCTTCTGTTCCAGGTGTACTTGACAATCTTCTGTTCTAGGTGTACTTGACAATCTTCTGTTCTAGGTGTACTTGACAATCTTCTGTTCTAGGTGTACTTGACAATCTTCTGTTCTAGGTGTACTTGACAATCTTCTGTTCTAGGTGTACTTGACAATCTTCTGTTCTAGGTGTACTTGACAATCTTCTGTTCTAGGTGTACTTGACAATCTTCTGTTCTAGGTGTACTTGACAATCTTCTGTTCTAGGTGTACTTGACAATCTTCTGTTCCAGGCGGATGTGACAATCTTCTGTTCTAGGTGTACTTGACAATCTTCTGTTCCAGGCGGATGTGACAATCTTCTGTTCTAGGTGTACTTGACAATCTTCTGTTCTAGGTGTACTTGACAATCTTCTGTTCTAGGTGTACTTGACAATCTTCTGTTCCAGGTGTACTTGACAATCTTCTGTTCCAGGTGTACTTGACAATCTTCTGTTCCAGGTGTACTTGACAATCTTCTGTTCTAGGTGTACTTGACAATCTTCTGTTCTAGGTGTACTTGACAATCTTCTGTTCCAGGTGTACTTGACAATCTTCTGTTCCAGGTGTACTTGACAATCTTCTGTTCTAGGTGTACTTGACAATCTTCTGTTCTAGGTGTACTTGACAATCTTCTGTTCTAGGTGTACTTGACAATCTTCTGTTCCAGGTGTACTTGACAATCTTCTGTTCCAGGCGGATGTGACAATCTACTGTTCTAGGTGTACTTGACAATCTTCTGTTCTAGGTGTACTTGACAATCTTCTGTTCCAGGTGTACTTGACAATCTTCTGTTTCCAGGCGGATGTGACAATCTACTGTTCTAGGTGTACTTGACAATCTTCTGTTCTAGGTGTACTTGACAATCTTCTGTTCTAGGTGTACTTGACAATCTTCTGTTCCAGGTGTACTTGACAATCTTCTGTTCCAGGCGGATGTGACAATCTACTGTTCTAGGTGTACTTGACAATCTTCTGTTCCAGGCGGATGTGACAATCTACTGTTCTAGGTGTACTTGACAATCTTCTGTTCCTAGGTGTACTTGACAATCTTCTGTTCCAGGCGGATGTGACAATCTTCTGTTCTAGGTGTACTTGACAATCTTCTGTTCTAGGTGTACTTGACAATCTTCTGTTCTAGGTGTACTTGACAATCTTCTGTTCTAGGTGTACTTGACAATCTTCTGTTCTAGGTGTACATGACAATCTTCTGTTCTAGGTGTACTTGACAATCTTCTGTTCTAGGTGTACTTGACAATCTTCTGTTCTAGGTGTACTTGACAATCTTCTGTTCTAGGTGTACTTGACAATCTTCTGTTCTAGGTGTACTTGACAATCTTCTGTTCTAGGTGTACTTGACAATCTTCTGTTCTAGGTGTACTTGACAATCTTCTGTTCTAGGTGTACTTGACAATCTTCTGTTCTAGG